TTTTTTATCAAAGACAGATAGACTTTATTATTTCAAGTCCTATGAAACTTGATCAGTTCGGTGGGCATAAAGCTGGTAACTTTCAGATTGGAAGCAGACCTTTTAGTTTTATTTACATTACCTTTCAAGGTCTCATATGTCACTAATACCTTTACAAGTTTATTTATATTAAAATATAATAGATAAGAAAGTCAGTGACTTAAGCTGTCAATGACACAAGATGGACAAGTTCCCTTAACTTGCTTCACTGACTTATTTCACTGCAAAACAGGGTCAAATCTCATTATATTTTGACAGAACCATTTAGATCTTTACTCAAAAATTAAAAAAAAATTTTTTTTGGGAAAGCCTTTTGTTCTTTGCAAGGAGTGCCTTTCATTTAATTAAGTCTGTTTGTTACCAAATCACCATAACGAGGTATGAGCGGGAAGATATGAAGATATCAACTCTTCAGAGATGAGCAGTTTTGTGTTTTTGCTGCAGGGTTGCAGCAAAAGTAGTTTTCAAATGAGAAGGAGAAGGGAGAGGGCTCTGGATTTCACTCTATCCAGGTGACAGAAAAATACCCGAGGGGTTTTGTATTTCCTGTGCCCTCCTGTCACTACATCCTGGGTCTGTCTCTCTTTCTGCTCTATCACACCTGGGCCTCAGTCATGGAAAATGCAGTCGAAGGCCTCCCTCTGCTAATGTTTCCCAAACAGTTCTGACACGGTGCTGCTGGACACTGAGGCTGAGACTGCACAACGCACAACCACGAACAGGAGCTAACACCAAGTATTTAGACACTAAAGTAATAATCAAGGAGGAGTGAGAATGTCAATCAGTGTGCTTCAAAATGTAAACTTTCAAAATGCATGTTCATAGAACAGCACTAAATAACAGCTATATAGATTAAGACAGTATTGGATATTTAATTTAAAAAGAGAGTAAAAGACCTATGCTTATGGCTCTGCAAGGGTTTCAACTAAAGTCCTTAATTAAGGTTTAAATAAAACATTGGCTGCTCAGACAACTGTAACCTGGTGTGAGACAATCTGCTTTGAGGCATCTGGGTCTCAGCTGCAATGTCTCCTCTTCAGTCACTCCTGGGACATGATGGCCTTATCTCAGGTGGCTGCACACACCCTTGACCTTTGCCTTGGTCTCTCTCCTACTCACTGCCTTTACAACATTTACTATCATCTAGAATTCTCATGGTAACTTAGTTGTATTCTGATTTCTTATGCATCTCTTCTCCTCAACTTCCAAAATGTATGCAAACTCCATGAGGGCAGAAATCTTGCTGTCTTGTTTGCTTCCCCTAGAATTCCTGGCACATGTCAGGATGCTTAAAAATGTTTACGAGACACATAAATGATCTGGGGGTTGAATCTGTGCCAGATGCTATGCTAATCACTTTAGGCACCTCACTCACCGCATACCACATCTTGTAAAGTGGAGTCATATTTTCTATTTCTCAGGTGAGGACACGGAGACACAGAGTAGTTAACTTGTCCAGGGTCAGACATCTAGGAAGCGATGAGGCCAAGACTTGAATCCAAACACTTCTAACGCTAAAGCCTGGTTCTTAGCTACAATATTATATTGCTTCCATTTGAGGGCTGCCACCGCTAAAATCCTGGAATATACACATTTGACTTTACTATTAAAGTTCTAGGCAAGCTGCTTTCATCTTGTTGATCTTTTCTAATCCTCTGGTCCAATATAGGGCTTAGAGAAGCAGGGGAGATAATCTTGAGGCTAGGACCGACAGCAGCATTAAAAAAAAAATCTTTAGAAATCCTATAGGAAACCTCACACCCTAAAAATATTGTGGAACAGTCTGGTGAGGTGTGTGTGTGTGTGTGTGTGTGTGTGTGTGTGCGCGCGTGCACGTGGGTGGGTGGGTTTAACAAGACGCACAAATGAGGGACAAGCAGCAAACATTCTAAAATAACAGGACCCTTTCTCTCATGTTTGATTCCACTCCCTTTGAGAATAAGAAAGCAGCTCTGTGCCAGCGCCGTGCCCAAACAGACAATGTGTATTGTCAAGGCAAAATGACTGGGCTGCTCCCGATCTGTGATACAGAGCAGATTGTGAAGTCCGGTTTGTGCAGGTCAGTGAATACAGCATGGAGCCTTCTGTTTGAGACAGGTAACAAGTAACACAAGAGCTGGCTTCCCAGGATGCTTCACAAGACCAGGGGACATAAAGGAAGCCTGCTGGCCGGGGAGAGCAGAGCTGAAGCCAGGAAAAGCCCCGCCCCAAAGTTTATCTCAATGGAGCCAGTTGGTGGCCCATAATCCAGCTCCTTTCCTATTCAGTGGGAATTGTGTCCAGTGGGAGAAAGACAACACAGAAATCTGAATTCCTATTTTGGCCTATCCGATGATAACCACCTAAATATTTCAGTAATCTGCGCCTTAAGCAAAGTAGAGCTGGAAGAATATTTAGGAAAATTGAACCCCAAAGTCATAATGTGCTTTAGACATTTAGATGGGCCTTAGGAATAAAAATGATCCTTGGCATTACTTTTGGTAAAAATAAATCTTAATCTACTCCTTGTCTGACTTTGTACTTGGACAAAGAATGATCTTGATTGGATTATGTAAAAGATCTAATTTGAGCTGTTATTAAAAATTCCGAAATACAGGAAAAAAAAAAACTACTCCAAGGCTTAAAGAAGTAATTTTGTACTAAGTTTAAATCAAACTCCCAAACTTCTAAGCTGCATGCTGACAGGCAGCATTGTCCCACTCGACAGTGCTATATTTACAGCTTGCAATGATGATGCGCTTGGTGGTTATTTTTCATGTAGGAAGTCACACTAACACCCCTGAACCACCTGCATATGTCTTAAAGCTGACTTCTCCCCCACCAGAAAAATGATTCTGTTTAAAGTTTTTAGAAGAGAGAAATCTTGAATGTCAAGGTGTTATAAAAAGATAAAACACGTGTTCCACGTGTTCACAGCCCGCTGCCCATCTGGGCATTCAGGGCAAGCTTTCTTGAGCCAGTTTCATTATTGGAAAGATTGATAAATGCTCCACTGCAAGCACACTGGAGATTTCTTTTACACTCATACTTTGAACCCACTCAAGTACGGAATATCATTATATGGCTTTGTTAGGATTACCTTTCCCTAATTTTTCAATTATATATCTTTTAGGAGTTACAGAGCCCACAGTTTCAGGAGACACTCTCCAATGCATGCATTAAATTACACGGATTTGAGTCAGGCTTTTTTGCAAACTAAAAAGAGGTGCCCCAGGGGTCTGTGTTATCTTCTCAGTTTCTCAATCTGAGGGGCTCCAGCTTCCTCAGCAATAAAGTGAGGCAATGGGGTTAAAGGATCACTGCCATCCTTTCTAATGGCAAGGCTCTATGTTCAAAACAGGGTACAGAATGTCCAAGACCTAACACTCATCTGTGAAATACCTGTTAGGGGTCTCGGAATTTCTGATGGATTGGATGAGCATTTCAAGGCCATTTCATAGTTTTGGCACCACCTTCCTGATAAACTTTCATTATCTTTGGGAAGGAAAACCTAACTGGTTACAAACTCATTTTTAAATTTATGAGAGAGCAAAATGAGTAAGCTGCTGATGAAGTTAACGGTCAACCAGGAGGATTCCCTTCCTTTTGCAAAAACATCTAATAACCTTCCATTATCATCATTTTGTCCTTCACAGGAAATTTACGTGAAGTGAACCAGTAACATTAACAAATAATACTGACATACTTCAATGCCTTCATGCCAAACTTAAAAAACTGAAAGGATATTGGGATGGCTCTCTGTGCAATAAAGGATTCTTCACACAAAGTTTCATGTTAGAGTTTACAAAAGCCCCCTTGTACGGAGAACTCCTCTATGGGTACTTAACTTTCAAGGCGGCTATCCACTGTGAAGTGAAGCGCTTCAATATTAAATTTGCTCTAATGTCATATACTTGATAGAGTTTCCGAAATTGTTTCAGAAAGAAGGTATAAATTATAAGTAAATGAACAAATATATGTGCTAGGCTTTTAGTCTGTGATTGATATCAAAACAGCAACTTGAGTAATTAGATTTTGAAAGTAATTCGTGTGAAAGCAATAACAAGCAAAGTTGGGAATGTGCCACTTGATTATTTAATTTTTTTCCCCTGCCCTTACTATAAATCAAAACACTCTCAAAACTGCAGGCATAGTAAAAATGGAATTAAAAAATTCCCAGAAAATTTAGATTCTAAATGGAAATAGGCTATTTTTGCTGTTTGTTGGGTTGGTTTTAAGGAAGCATTGTGTAGTAAGGATGATCTGAATTATTGCAGTATCAAGGGAGTTGGTAGGGAATGTATTTTTGGAAGAAAATCAGTGCTTTGTGAGCAAGCGGGAAACTTACTAGGTGCTGTGCAGCACGTCAATTATTTAATTTATTGCTTCCTCACTGGAGCCCTGATTTGGGACATGTCGCCAGGAGATGTTCTGTTTGCATCTTCTTCCGCTGGACTGAATTCTTCCTAGGCAGGGCCCGTCTTACTCAGACACTGAAGACATATGAGGGTGTGGAGTCAAGTTCTCTCTTCTTATTTTCAACCCTCCAAATCCCTAGCCCCTAATCAAATCTATGGGTCCTTCAGTAATCACTACTCCCATGAAACCTCCATGGATCACTCAGGTGGATGTCACACCTCTCTTCCCTAAACTGTAAACTCAGCTTTCTTGAGAGTAGAGAACAGGATGCAATTCCCTCAGGGCCTCACCCATACCATACCCTGCTCTGAATTTGCTGCGGCATAACAGCATAGTGCTTTGTATGTAAGAGGAACTTAAAGAGTCACTGAGTCAATAAAAGCAGGATTTTCTAAGTAGAAGAAGGACTTCAGGAATTATCTGGTGTCATAGTCCTCGCTGGGGGATCTACCACCGCTTCAAAGGCATTTTGAAACACTCATGGAACATTTTAAAAATCTGTGTGTGGGGGAGGGGCCTACACCTATAGGTGACTCACAATCACAGGAATCCTGCACAACAAAGAATCGTTCTGTGTTCCAAACTTTCTCATGTCCCGCTGGATGCTTTACATATAAACATAAAGTATTTTTTATACAATTTTCCTATAGATTTCTAGGACTTACTTGGATTTCTGGGATTTAATGCTGGGTAAATTAAGACAAGATTATACTTTACGGTGTTCGGAACTGATCAAAAGTTTTGCACGATTTGGGAGAATCACATGGCCAACAACATCTGCAGTCACGGTGTCTGTCTTAACAATACGCACTCCTGCATCAGCCTGCATTTGTAGTAGCTGCTTTCCTAGCAGTGCTATGTCTATATACAAACATGCTCATTCAGCTCTTACATCACAGGTGAAATATAAAAAAAAATTGTCTATACTATCTCATTAACTACCGTTCTCTTTTAAGTGCAAAGTGATTCATTATAAGTGGGTGTGCATATCTGACCATTTTATCAGGTTTTCTATGCTTTAGTTCCTTATTTTTTGTATTTTTTGCTTTATTGAAATCTTGTTTCTAGATAGATTATATTATCTATGAATTTTATTTTAGGACTTGTTATAAAAATGGAACATTCAGTTAAACAGTATTGAGGGCCACTGATCTAGTACATTCTAGTATAGTTTCCTTACTTTACAGAAAGGAAATGGGACACTAGAAATGAAATGATGCACCAAAGGTCATACACTTGATTAAAAAGTAGGCTTTGGTAGATTAAGATACAGCTAGAGCACAAATAATTAACATTCCAGATTCTAACACCCTGGAAGGCTACATTATGTCACAAAACATAAAATACCAGGAGTTAAAATAATATGATCTGCCTTTTAATAACATTTGCTCTTGCCATCAATTATTTCTCCCTTATCCCAGGCAAAGGTGTCTTGAAAGGCAATTTCTTTTAACTGGAATTTCTGTTTTCCCGATGATCCTAATACAGATTAGAACTACATTCTTTGGAAAAAAAAGAGTCCTCTGACTTAGCGTGGGCTAGGCTGAGCTTTATTCTTTGGCCCTGAAGCATCCTCCCCACCCTCTTCCTGCGGGAAGATGTCTGAAGCCTGTATGAGGCAGAACAACCCTTCTCTTCCAACAATATCAACAGTACAAACAATCGACTCAGTGGGTTCCCTCTGCATCCTTCTCTTCTGGGCCTCCTAAGCAACTCTGTAGGGGAATTACTGACCTGTGACCCCACGAAGGGCCTTTGAAGGTTCCTCGAGTATCGAGATCTTTTTCTCACGAGGGATAAGGACTGGTTTCTCACTGGCAGAATCAGTGGATGAGTTGTCCTTCTCGCAGCCATTCATATGGCCATTTTGTATCTGGGGCGGTGGTGCCTGCAGGGGCCCTGCTTCGGGCCTCTCTGCCTTTTCTTTAGCATCTTTGTTGCCTTGATGCTGCTTGGACTTGCTTCTTTTTCTTTTATTGTTCTAGAATGAGAAACAAATGAGAAGATAATATTATTCAGCTCAGACCCTTGAGATACAAAGTGAACCTGAGACATCAACCTACATCTTTATTAACTGCCTACGTTAATGGATCTTCTTTCTCACAGTAAGTTGTGTAAACTTTTACCTCATAAACATAATGAGCAAATAAAAGTTCCCTTAAAACGAAAAAATAGCAGGGAATGGCCTAAAACCTGAAAATTAATGGAGCAAATTGAAGCCCTACATATATGAATAGTAATATAGTAAAATCTTGTGTGATCTGCTTTCAAAGACTTGAATTCAGGTATTGTGTCACTAGAGAAATGCTCACATTTCTTAAATTGGTGATGAGGTGGAGGGAGGCAAGCGGGACTCTAGGGTTCTGATCCTCTAGGGAGGACAGGAGGTTGAGGAGAATCAGTAGGAAAAAAGGCAGGCAAGTCCTTGCAAAATGACGAAGTAGAAGGTAGGTCCCCAAAGTCCAGGTTGGGTCTATGAGATAGACACCAATCAATTAGGAGATTCCTGGGATGGCTGCCACTGTCTATGGAGTACAAGACAGCCATGCACACAGAACCATCCCCATGAGTATTTTAGCTGGGGCAAACAATTGCTATAAACTCATGCCAAACCGATCTGGATCCACCTGGATTTGGACTGTGGAGCTCAAATAATGGACGACTTCTCAGCTGCGAGGCAAACAGCATTACATGGTTTCACTTTATTTACTTTGAAATAACACAACCCTGCATTTTAGACCATTAAAATGTTTTTTGGACCCCAATTATCACAATATGGCAAGGTTTTAATGTACCTCTCCTAAGATGCCCTCCCTAATGGACGATACATAATAATATCTAGAAATTAAGAAGATGTTCCCAATTATGTTGCACGCTTTACTTGACTTTGGTTTTGTACCTTTGGGGTACTCAGTGTCTTTAACATTCGGGATGGCGCATGCCTCAGCCAAGCAGAACAGATGCCTGACCCATAAGAGCAGACCCCGTGCCACCTGCTGCAGCAGTTAGCAGTTAGTACCTGCTGAACATCAGTCTGGCTTTGTTCTACAACACATTTGAAAAGAAAAAATAAAAGGAAACTGTTTCCTCTTAATTCTCCTCCTCATTCCCTTTCCTTCCCTTTGAAACCACAAACCACGCAACTCCCACCCTGGGTAGTGCTCTTTTAGCTGAGAGAAGCCATCCTCTGGTGAAGCAAAGGGCCTGGGGCACATATTCCCACGCAAGCTACGGGTATGCTGGGCTGGGGAGACTGATTTCCCGCTGAACTTCTAAGATGAAGGCTCAGGGAGTTGGGTCTGTGGCTGCTCCTCTGCTCCTTTTTTCACGTCAGAGAAATTTGCTACCCAAACCACACATCTTGAGATTTTTCCACGGACATGTAAATATTGCCTTTCAATCACTTGCAAACCATCTTCATCTCACACAGAAGTCAGGGAAGTGAGGAGTAGAGTTAAGCAGAGATTGTCAAAGAGGGTGATATGTTAAGTAAAAAAAAAAAATCTCCTAATTCTTACTGTTCTACATAAACTAGAAACAGAATGGAGGACAAGGGGTAATTTCAGTAATTCCATTCATCTCAGGATTTATGGAAGTAAAGCTGCCTTTTGTCTGCTTAAAACCTGTTCTGCAGGCCTGTGATCTTCCCTTGTGGGGAAGGGTAGACTAGAGTATTATATTGTGGGATACCCAAAATACAAGGCCTGGCTGGGAAATTGTGGGTATGGGTAGAGCAGTTCCTTTGAAAAGAGAATCAGACTTTTTGTGAAAGTCCTACATCAGGTTGCAGGCCAAGAACAAGACTGGTGTGCCTTGCAGGAGCTAGTGAGCTCTATACGTGGCCACAAGACTAGGCAGGCATGTGCTGGACACAGAGCACCATGTGCCCAGAAGTCAAACCCTCTGCGACTAACCAAGAAAGGAAAATAATTTGAAGAGGGCAGAGTAAAATCTCCTTCCCTCTGTTCTTAAAAAGCAGTTTGCCAAGGTTATTGAGAAGGAAAAAAATTGGTCCCTTACTTACTATGGCTTTAAGGTATTTTCTTTTCTTGTTCTTTTGTTAAGGATCTAGTTTAGAACTCAGAAAAAAAAAAAAATTTCAGGGCAGCCTTGGACAGATTCTTTCAGTTGGAAAAACATGTGAAAATATATTTAGAGCTTTTCAAGTATCTTTAAAACACTCCCTAATTTTTTCCTTTGTGCTACAGAATATGTTCAGGCAAGTTAACTTCTTGAATCCTTTGAATTCTCTGGCTGGGCTCCTCTTAATACTTAAAAAGAAAAACTCTGGGACTTCTAAAGCACACCTGGTGGTTAAAAACACTCCAACAGAAAACAAGGGCATTAGTAGTGAGGGTGGCTGGTAATTGAAGAGAGTCTTGAATGTGCACGCTTTCTCAGTCTAAATACCAACATATTTGAAAGAAGCATAAAACTGGTAACCTTGTTTAAATGGTAACAACCATGGAGGTTTTGATTGGAGATGTGATTAATTTACAATCAGTATTAATCTTACCTTCTTTTTTCCTGTCATATTCCATTCTTTGAGAACTTGAACTGCACTGCCTAGACAAAGACAAAGAACCTTCAACACGTATTCACATAATAAAACACCACACAAAATTCATCTCTGTCTTTCCATCCTGGTAGCAATTTTTTTTTCATTTGTTTTGATACATCCTACCTTAATAAAAATGCCAGTTTCATTTTTTATTTCCAGACTTTCATTTAATTCACTGCATGATCTTGGTTTTATCAAAGTATTAAGCCCCTCTACATGAAGCTTACCTTTTTTATCATTATGTTGTCTTAGAGAAAATGAAATATTTCTTGAGAATGTTCTGTTAGCTTCATTGCCATACGTGGAATTAGAATTGTTCTGTTTGATATATGAATCAAAATACCTATAATCTTCTAGACCAAACATGGGATTTTGAATCTTATTAACCAAGTGCATCAAAGCTTTTTGCTTGGCCACTCTTGCTCTTTTTCTGCCCCCACTCACTATGTGCACAACTTGAACTTGAGCAGTGTGATAAGGAGGGCAGATTATCTGAGGTTGGTTTTGCTCTCATCACTGTGCATAGGTAGGAATAGGATGGGCTCTCTGCAAGGCTTTCACTTTGAAACAAAAGAAATTCATCAACTGACATGTTGATCTCAGGTTTTCTCAATGCTATTCACATACATATGTGGCCTTGCACAGACTCAGAGGAAAAGCCTAACCTGATTAAGCTGTAAAATCTTTTAAAAGACATGTATACTGCTAGTCAGCTATGATAACTGTTTTCCACATGGCCTAACAAAGTTCTTCCCTCATTCCAACTGGGCTGGGGGTAATTTCAACAATATGTTATTGGTAATGAGTACATTGTTTGTTTTCCTATAAATAAGTACTTCTGAAAGAGTAGCTCTTAAGTGTATTCTTTTAACAATTTTAAGCCTTCTCATACAATCTCATTATACTAATAGTTCTGTACAATGAGTGTGTTGGCTAAACAGAGATAAACTTCAGGCCGGTTTTTATAACAAATTTCAAATTAGTAGGGTCCCAATTATTGAGTCCACTGTCACTGTAGATAAGCAGAAGGCCATACTGCTTTGACAAATGTTTAGACAGGCTAATTATTCCTATCTATTCAAAGTTTCCAATTCAATGCCCCTCTTAGGCTTTCTGAGTTACATGTACTCGAAATAATAAGACTGCACTTAAAAGTAAGCTATAATTCAGACTTTTTATTAACTGAGCTGGTCTTTCTCTCATTTGTCCAGAGAATTAATGTTTCACAGTATTTTCCTTTTGAAGAACTTTAGGAAGTCACTTTTACTAGACTTCTTGCTTAGTCAATCCAGTGGCTAATAATCATTAGAGTAGTTCTTACAGCTAAACTTCAGTTTTCTAAATAAAATAAAATGAAAGAGCAGTGCTAAATAATGTTCTTTTTAATCAGAGAAAGGAGGTAATTTCTGGCGCTTATGGCTTTACAATTATTCCTCTAATTTTCATATTTCGGCATAAATCTATTTGCAATTTGGACAATAAGCTTTTAGAGAGCAATTCTGAAGAAGAAATACTCATGTTCACAGAGAATTTTGAAATTGTTATTATTAAGTTTTAATTATACCAAAACTGCTCAGAGCTTTTGAAGCCACTCAGAACTAGTGCTTTTATTTATTTTATTTTATTTTTTTAAATTTTTAATGTTTTATTTATTTCTGAGAGAGAGAGAGACAACGTGAGCCGGGGAGAGTCAGAGAGAGAAGGAGACACAGAATCGGAAGCAGGCTCCGAGCTGTCAGCACAGAGCCCGACGTGGGGCTCGAACCCACGAGCTGTGAGATCATGACCTGAGCCGAAGTCGGACACTCAACCAACTGAGCCACCCAGGCGCCCCAGAACTAGTGCTTTTAATATGCCTTGTCAGTGATTCCTAACAAAAATTTTGAACCTCAGTGTTTTCAAACAAGTTTTCCAACTGGTCCCCAAACAAAGTGATATGAGGTTTCTCAGCAATCAATGGGTTTTTCCAATGAGATCTCAACACTGACAAGGTGACAATTTCAAGGACAAGCAAGGTGCTCTATTTAAATACAAATGGATTTGATGACAGTCTATCAGCTACTGAGAATCTGTGCATTTCATCAGGGTCACTTTGTATTGTAATGAAAACTTTCATGATGGGGAATGTGGGGGCTTCAATCCAAGTGAGGGTGGGGGAGAATGGGGATAATAGCCCTTTTGCTTTCCTAAAGCTTTTTTCCATGTGAATGATGTTGGCAAGTGAGCCTTGAGAGTTTATCTGTGCCAGGATGTGCAGATTTCCAATTTTTTTTCCTCGAGACAAATTGCACCAAATGCTGCGAATCAGATTAATATCAGATTTTCTATTTTTTTCTTATGACTAAAAACTCTGTATCGGCCAGTCTGTGAGGCAGAAAGACACAGAAAAGTTACTCACTACTTACTATGAGTCTGCTTGCAGGTCTATTTTGAATGATAATCATTTTTTAAAATCAGGACCCTAAATTTTGAGATTATAGTTGAGAGAGTTTAGACTGAGAGTGTGGCCTAGTTTCAAGACCTTACCTAAATGCAATTATACTTGTGGAACTTAAGGAAAATTATTCTAATCCTAGGAAAATAAGTAAATCAAACCATCTTTAACAAATAAAGTGTAAATAGGATATAATTGAGAAGTGTGCTGACAGGTCTTCCCTGACCCTATTTATCAGATTACATTTATCTAGTCCGTATTTACAACATAGAAACTAATACCAGGATAGAACACATATGGTAACTGAGGACAAGTATGAGATCTCTGTCCAAAAATGGAACTTGTTCAAAGAGGAGGGAAGAATTTTCCCATAATTTATAGGAAATATAAGGTCATAGGTTATAAATTTATAAGATAAACATATTCCTGAGACTAGATTCTGTAACATTACTGGCTATTCCTTGTGTAAAGAATTCTTTTTTAGACAGCAAAAAGGGTCTAGAGGTAGATGAGAAGAATTGATATTCTGATTAATTATGCAATCTCAAAATCAACAGCCCTGGGGCACCTGGTAGCTCAGCTGGTTAAGCATCTGATTTCAGCTCAGGGGCCAGGATCTCACATGGTTCATGAGTGTGAGCCCTACATGGGGCTCCCCACCGCCCCATTTTCTGCCCCTCCAAGGCACATGGGCTCGAGCACACTCTAAAAATTAACTAAACACTAAGAAAGAGAAAAAACCAGCCCTCTCAGACTAAGTGAGTATCAAGTTCAAGAACTGTGGTCAAGTACAACTATGCTGAAGAGTTGAGGAGGCATTCCAGATCAGGAAGGAAGTTCATTACCCTCCATTCACAAGGACACCATCAAGTAAAGGGCATGTTTAATAACAAATTGGAAAGATTTGGTGGACAATGGAATTAGCATCATTATAACAGGTATCTTTTAGAAACTAGGTACAATCTTTTTTTTTTTTTTTTTTTTTTTTTTTAATGAGGGAGAAAGGAATCCTAAATTCTGCTCTTATTAAGTATATGGATGTGGGTTTTTTTTTTCACTTTTTAAATGTTTATTTATTTTTGAGAAACAGAGACAGAGCATGAGCAGGAGAGAGGCAGAGAAAGAGACACAGAATCTAAAGCAGGCTCCAGGCTCTGAGCTGTCAGCACAGAGTCTGACGCGCAGGGCTCAAACCCACGAACCATGAGATTATGACCTGAGCTGAAGTCGGACACTCAACCAACTGACCCACCCAGGAGCCCCCATATGGATGTGTTTTTAAATCCTAGCAATTTTTTTTAAACTAGCATATTTTTATGAGAATTAAATTGTTGGTAGCTTACTGACATTCAATGCATTTGAAGAAAAACAGGGAACATATAGAATATTTAGTTCTAACAGGTTCAGGGGTCATGTATACTTACCATCCACGAAGGCTTGCACTGCTTTATCTACATTAAAGTCAAACTGTTGTAGCACCAGCACGATTTCATTATTGCTTTTGTTGGGTACAACAGATCGAACTGCATAAATCTATGAGGAAAAAGAAAAGAAAAAGAAGGGTAAACACATGAAATAGTGCCCATCCAAGAATCTCACTGGATAGATTATAACTGTTAGAAGGCCTTGAAAAGTCAACTAATTTATCTTCTTGCCATTAAGCAGACTCCAGCATTTCAGACCAGCAAAAGTTCATCCTGCTAATCACCTCGATACCTTTTTTATTTATGTACACATGTCCACAAAGAGCTCCTTGTTAGGACTGTAGTAGGTAAGTGTGAAAAGCCAATTTTGGTTTTGCAATCTACCCTACCACCCCCAACCCAGCCCCAAGACTACAAATGCATACAAGAGGTGTTTTCAGTGAAGACACAGATCATTTTCTGTCTCAAGCTCTCCTCTCCACTGACTCCGGGGACATCTTTGGAAAACTTACAGAAATAGCCCCACACTTCTCTTATCTGTACAGTGGAAGCAGTCATTTCAAAGCTCACACAAGTGTGTTGTAAAACTCCACTAATGCTTACAAAGATATAAAAGTGTGGGGCACTGTACTTTTGAAATGGCAATCTTAGCCGTAATACAGAATGTTGTCAAACACATTTCTGAAAATCAAACATTTCAAACATTGTAAAAGTAAATACACATATGAAAGCTAAGGATTTTAATAGGTTAAGTTGATAATAAATTTTTAATGACCTATCTATATGTATTTCTTAATTAAATTTAGCATATATTCTTTACTAACAGAATTAATTGATCTCTGTCTCACAGAACCTGGAATTACTATAGGATGCTATACTTACCTGAGCAAAACCTAGCTCACCCAGCTTTCTATCAAGGGGATTATTGTAGTTGCTACTGATAGATTCTAGAGTCTGTGTGGTGCAAAGGTAAGTATCATGATCATGAAAGCACAGTACAATCTTTATGTGTTTTCATCAATGGTTAAATTATGGCTAAGTGAGTTTTAGAGTTACATGCAGATTCATGGACTACAGATTATATAGGTACAATATGTGTAACATGACTCTCCTAACCAGAACATTTAGTTAAATATAGCCCAGTTCCTAATTATGTCAGAAAATAGGCAGCCTATCTCATATAAATCTGTACATGAGAGTATTTAGATTATAATGAGAAAAGAACACAAGCTAGACGTACATAACTTATAGAGGTTTGTCACTATTGATCAGAAAGCTGGTTTTGAATCTTGACATTCATAAATGCTAAACATGTGGGTTTAACCAAGGACTCTAATACAATATATGTATTTGTATGCATGTGTCTCAAGATTCCTTTACTTCTTTTTTCTATTCTCACCTATTATAGTTCTTAGTTTTTTAGACTCTATATTAAAAATATTTACTTCTTCAGCTATATGTTCTTTCTCACCTTTTCTCTTTCCCATCTTTAGAAATCCATTCAGTGAATATTTTTTTGAATGCCTATTGTATGACAAAGGCACCAAACTTCCTGGAATTTACAGACTAGAGGGGGATGTACGTGTTGATCAAATGATCACATAAATAAATACATATGTGTACACTGTGATTAATGCTATTCAATCATATGACAGGGAGACTTGACCTTATAAAGGTATGCTAACATCTGAAGGATAAGTGAGAGAGATGAGTAGGAGGTAAGAGGAAAGGCATTTTAGGTAGAGGGAACAGTATGAGTACAGAGTGAGGCACAGAGGAGGAGGGAGTAGATGGAGGTGAATATGGAGGGAGGCAGAAGCTGAGGCTTTTAGAATACAAGCAGAGACCAGTCGTGGGCAGAGACCAAATGATGCAAGGCCTACAAGGCCATGCAAAGGATTTAGGTCTTGTGAGTATCTCTCAACTATCCTTTCTTTTTTTCTTTTTTAATTTTTTTATGTTTATTACTGAGACAGAGAGAAACATAGCACGAGTGCGGGATAGGTAGAGAGAGAGGAAACACAGAAACCGAAGCAGGCTCCAGCCTCTAAGTTGTCAGCACAGAGCCTGATGTGGGGCTCGAACCCACAAAACGTGAGATCATGACCTGAGCTGAAGTCGGATGCTTAACCAACTGAGCCACCCAGGTGCCCTCATCCTTTCTTTTGTTAAGCTGTCCTTTCTTACTCATTCATCATGTTAGAAAGATAGCTTTCTCTCTCTATCTCTATTATTGTGTAAGTTAAGGTGTACAAGATATTGATTTGATACATTTATATACTGAGAAATGATAATCACCATACCATTAGCTAATATCTCCCTTCCATTACATAATTACCATTTGTTTTTTGTGGTGAGGACATTTAAGATCTACTCTCAACAACCTTCAAGTGCAGTATATGGCATTATTAGCTATAATCACCATATTGTACATTAGATCCCCAGAACTTATTATTCTCATAACTGGAAGTTTGTACTCTTTGATCAGTATGTCCCCATTTCCCTTTTTTTAAAAAGAGAAGCTGAAAGAAAAACAAGAACAAAAACATCTGCATCTAGCCAGGAAAATCACTAAGTGTGTGTGTCCAATGACAGATACAATCGTCTTAATAGTTACCACTGCATTGGAGTTATGTGTAAACATTACATTTTATCCTTCTAATGTAATTCTTTTAAATAAAATTCTAACATTTCAAGCTACTATGGTTGCTTAGTGTTATATAAAAGCCTTGGAGTGCCTGGGTGGCTCAGTGGCTAAGTGCCAAGTCTTGATTTCAGCTCAGGTCATGATATCACGGTTTGTGGGATCAAGGCCCCTCCACCCCAGTCAGGTTCTGTGCTGACAGCTCAGAGCATGCTTGAGATTCTCTCTCTCCCTCTGTCTGCCCCTCCCTCTCTCTGACAGTAAATAAATAAACTTAAAAAAATAAAAATAAGTAAATAAAATATATGGGGTGCTTGGGTAGCTCAGTTGGTTAAGCATCTGACATGAGCTCATATCATGATCTCATAGTTTGTGGGTTTCAGCCCTGCGTCAGGCTCTGCGCTGACAGCTCAGAGCCTGGAGCCTGCTTCAGATTCTGTGTCGTCTCCCTCCCTCTCTCTCTCTTACCCCTGCTCTTGTTCTCTCTCTCTTTCTCTCTCTCAAAAATAAATAAACATTAACAAAAACTTAATAATTACCATTATTATTTTATCAGCCATACCCTTCTAGATAATGCAATGATTAGTTATTAATTACATTAACTGCATTATAATTACATTAGACCAAAGTTTCCAATCCACTTGCACAGTTGTGTGATCAGTAAAGACCCAGAATAATGAAACAAACACAAAATAACTGTTCTCCCTGCTTACAGTCCCTCTTCTCCAAAACATAGCTTATTTTGTTAAGGTAAAACATAATATATAAACCACAGTGTACAGAGACAGTTCCTTTTTAGACGTTTATATAACATTTGCCTATTTCCTCTTTAAAAGGAAAAAAAATCCAACCGCAGTCAGATATAGAAAACACCTATCCTTGTCATTTTATATATTCTAGTTCTGAACATATTCTAAGAAAATTGTCAATAACTGAGTTCTGATATCAAATCTAACTATGAATATTGCATACAATTCTCAGAGGAAGATACTTCAGATAGGAATGTCAAGTTTTAAAGAAATGAGAAAAAAAAGGAATAAAGAATTTCTGCCTATTCTTAGGTATTCCATAGTAATGTTAAATTCTGGCTGTATTTCTGGGCCAAGCTCTGTGTTTGCTTTAATCCCAGGACTTGGCTAATGTGAAGGGAGGCGTATTGTTTTTCCACTTTCTTATTTATAAATTCACTACATCTACTTTCCAATGAAAATGTCTTTGAGAAAGATGGAGAAATCCTGTGTGCTCATACATGCACATTAAAATACAGGGACCTCACAGTGTCCCTATTCATGATGCAGCAGAGTTATAAGGGGGTCTATGCATTTAAATCCAAAAAAGACCTCATTATGAAGTAGCTTTAAAATAAGGAGTGGATGACAAAGGCAGTGTTATAGTGAGCTTGTATTGAAAGGCTGCCTTTGCATTTGGAAATGAAGCTCCTGGAGGAATGGATCAATCAATGCGTGACTAATGGTAGTTTGCATACGGGGAACTCATAAAATTCACGCCTGCAGTGACTGTTTTGCAGAGGCTGTTTTTGGCACTGCTACAGACTTACAGCCTTTACTCCACTGCCACAGCCCAAGCTGGTGTGCCTGCTGCTGCAGCTTCACTTCGAAGCCCACTGTTTGAAGCTGCACTTGACTGCATCCCTCAAGCGTTCTCATGCCATAAACAGAGTGGTCCGGGAGGGGTGGCCCAGGCGGCAGTGCAGGCTGCTGGGTGACCATCGGGACCGCTGGTAGAGGTTCATTTAGCAACTGCTTTACCCTTCTCAAATCATCCCCTTGTCTGGGTTCTACTAATTTAAATCTGGTTTGGCAAATTCAATTTGCAATTGAGAAATCCGCCTTTTGCACCTCAGAAGTTGTTTTGATTTTACCTTCAGTGGTTTAATCTCTCCTGCCTCCCTCTCTCTGGGGCTTTCTATCTGGCTCGGCAGGCTTCACCCCGTGCAGCCTCAGGACCGCCCTGCTGGCATTTCGCCTGCGCTGAGCAGCCAGGCAGAGTGGCTTTCACAGACGTTGTTCGGTTTCAGTTTCCCACATTAACCTCCCTCCCCTGGACTTGCGTTGTCTGCTTTAAGAGCTGTTAGCAGATTTCCTCGTTCACACTGCACATTTTTTGAACCTGTCTGTGATGACTCCTTAGAAATTCTTCTTGGCTTACTGATGAGTCACTTAGACTATGTCTGAGTTTCAAAAATGGTTCTCTGAGCAAAGTTTTCAATCCACCTACACAGCTATGTCATCAGTAGGGACCCAGTATTATCAAATAAACATAAAATAACTGCTCTCTCTGCTTCCGGCATTTCCCCTGCAAATTCATTCCCAGGCTCCCGCCAGACTGCACTTCCTAAATTATAATCGTGGCCATTTTACTCCCTTTCTTTAGAAGAAAGCTAAATCTCTACAACTGAGCATTCAAGGCCATCAGCCACTCCAGCCTGTACTTCAAACGCCCCTCTCGCTCTGCCCAGTGCTGGCTCCCCACCCTCACCTCTGTGAGCTTTGTCTTTGACAGAAGAGGTGTCTGCTCATCCGAATATTAGAGTCCAGCTAAAGTGCCATGTGTTCCGTGGGGTCTTTCTCCACTAGCCCTGTCACAGTCACCCTGCACCTTTCAATTCCCACAGCCTCTATCAGCAGATGTCTCTTTACACTTAGCACCTACGTCCTAAGTGTATGCATGCTCTGTTCACTAGATGGTAAGCGACATGTGGGCAAGAGTTCTCCTCTCAGACACCTCTGCATTGTCAACACGCCCATCCTGTCTGACTAATCATGGGCATATAGCAGGTATTTAACAACTATTTGTTGAGTAAGACAATGCCAACTTATAGCCGTATCCGGCTGCTGTTTTGAGTCAAAGGCATATTCTGCAAGCGGGTTTGGGCCATCCTATCACTTCGCATTTACCGTCCATAATAATAGGGGGGTCTTCATAGGTGACTGTGATATGACTTAAACACTATACGGGTAGGAGAATATGTGTATGTCCTCTAAATAACTGAGATGGGAAGAATATTTATGACATCTGATCATTTTATTTTAAGGTACTCCCAGTATTTTGTGAAATTTTAAAAATACAAAAGAGCATAGTAAGTGCCTATCATTCTAAAAGTCAGCCCAGAAGACAGATATGCTTGGGCTCCCACTAAGTGACAGGCAGAGGACACAGAGGGGAACCAGATACAGTTCCTGCCCTGAAAGGGACAGTGTAGCAGAGGAGCCAGAACCGTTTGCACTTGTAGGTGTATAGTGACCCTGTGTTGTCTTTACGAACAAGGTGCTGTGGTACTACAGAGAAGAACCAGTAAAGTTTGCCCGGAGAAGGGAGATTACTTTAACAGAGGAGACAGCTAAATGTCTCAGGAGCTTTGAATTTAAAAAGACCTATATTCTAATCTTGGTCCTGCTCCATCCTAGCTCTAGGACCCTGGATGAACTGTTTAAAAGGTTAAAACTTGGTTTTGTAGCTGTAAAATGAGGATATGACCTGTTAGTGTCTCACTAAAAATGAAAAGAGATGACGCATGTGAAGTGTTTGATATAGAATTTGGCATATATTAACTGCTCAATAAATTTTGAAAAGGGTTGGCACATTTACTCTGGGCCACGAAGGAGAAGGGTCCCTCTAGGTGTAAAAATCAGCATGTCTTTGAAATGGACAGAATATGTGTCTAGGGTGCTAGCCAAAATTTATTTTTATACCTCTTTCCTTAAGAACCTTCCTGCATAGCCTCACTGAGTAGTCAGTGGACCCAAGGCTCTCCTCAATCCCTCCTTCACCTGCAAGCTGATGTACCATAAGGAAGCCCATCACTATAACATGTGTTTCCTCTCTTCCAGTCTGCTCATTCTTTATTTGTTCACTAAATACTTTCTATGATCAGGTACTGTACTAGTGGCTGGATACAGCACTAATGAAACAGATACTGTTACTACAAACCTACAGAGGAAAAGAGAGGTGAGTATGTAAATTTAAAATGTATGTAACTGCAACTCACACTAAGTGAGTGATATGAAGGAAGCAATCAGAATGCAATGACAAAGATCACCAGAGTCAGGAAGTGGCCTGACAGAAAAGCCAAGTGGGCTAATCAGAGTCTCTGCCTTGGGAGTCTGGATGTTTTCACACAAAGGGAGAGAAGAGCATGGGGATGAAGAGGGGCTATTCTGGAGCTGCCTCACTTCCTGCCTTGCCTGCTTCTTTAGCTTGTCTTGAAGTCCCATGAAACCCTACCAGACCTATATAACCTCTTTTACTTGCACTAGTTTGAGAGGGTTTCATTTTCTACAGTAAGCAGCAAAGGCTAGACACAACATGAGCAGCCAGGGCTGGCAATAAAAATAATAAAGCCAAATAATTAATTCAATTGGCAAAGGGGAGAAATGGATGACTTTACAGATAAACCCAGTTAGAATGTGAAGGACAGAATGGAGAAGGCCCATGAGCCTTGTTCACATACCTCTTCTAGCAACTGGTGTTGCCATAATTACTTACGTGACTATTTGTCCCACTGAGCTCACTGTCTCACTGACATGAGCTCCTGAGGAAGAGAGGCCATATTTATATATCTGCCAGGCCTAGAACAATGGGTGGCATTCAGTAGATGATTCATAAATGTTTGTTGAATATATGAATGCACAACTGAATGACCTAAAGGAAGTAGAGAGCCTAGTAAGATGGCCATTGAAATATTCCAGTTTTATTAATCCATTTTTTCCCCAGTGCGTTTCTGAAATTCAGTGTAAAGTATTACAGTATTAAAAAGTATTCCAGCCCACAATGAATGGAGTGCCTCCTAGGTACCAGGAGGATGGTTTAGGGCTGTACACCATGTATGGCTGTGTACATGGCTGGTCCTGGCCTTGAGGAGCCTGTGGTGTTGTAGGTCCATCTTACCCCCTACCCTAAGGACAGCATCCAACAGCCAATAACCTGCTTTGCACATCAGTGAGAACCAGAGTTATTTATGTGTTTGCCATTCTTGTAACTTTGAAAGGAATTTTATAATCAGCTTTGGTCACATTTCTCAAATGCTGAGCCATTCAGAGATGCCTTAAACACAGCTCATCTGTGTGTGTTTTGCTTCACTTGCTGGACCACTAATATTATCCACACACTAATGAAGGCAGTTCTCTTATGAATCTTCTTGAGAAAGAAAATACTCTTTGTAGGCCAGTACCTCTGTACTATGGATAACTCTATAATTTAATTGCCTTTTCTAACATCTACTTTCTGCCAGCAAAAAAAAAAAAAAAAAATATGTATGAGGTGTTGTCATGTTCTACTTGGCTGACTTTTTGGGAATTAACACCAGGGGTACAAATCAAAATTAACTTTTTTTGGCAGGAAACCAGGATTAGAAGGAATAATGAAGATTTGAAGGTGAAAAAAATGTAGTTTTCAGAGACTCATGGGAAGTTTAAAGTACAGAAGATCTTAGAGACAGTCTAGTTGTGCCTTTTCAAACTTTAAAGTGCATCCAAATCATCTAGGAATCCAATCAGAATGCAGAATCTGATTCAGATGCTTGGGGTGGAGCCCAAAATTCTGCATTTCTAATAAACTCCCAGGTGATGTACATGCTGCTTGTCCACAGATGTGGTTGGCATAATAATGGCCCCCAAAGACATACATGCCCCAGTCCCCTGGAACCTATGAATATGTAAGGTTACATACAAATTAGGATTACAAAGAACTAAGGTTGTTAGCTGACTTTGAAATGGGGAGATTATCCTGGATCATCTCAGTGGGCCCACTATAACCACAGGGTCCTTCTAAGTAGAAGGAGGAAATAAGTCAATGTCAGACGATGCAATGTGAGAAAGACCTGACCAGCCACTGCTAAGTCCGAAGATGAAAGGGGACCACGACCAAGGAGTGCAGGCAGCTTCCAGAAGCTGGAAAAAGAAAGAAACAAATTCTGAACCTACAACCTCTAGAGAGGAACAAAGCCCTTGCCGACATCTTGATTCTAGCCCAATGAGGACCATCTGGACTTCCAATTTCCATTAATGTAAGATTATCAATTCATGTTATTTAGTTAAAACTACTAAATTTGTGACGATTTGCTACAGCAAAGGGAACTATAGTACAATGGACCACAATTTGAGGAGCGAAGGTCTATTCCTTTCTTCTTCTTAAAATGGGGGTATCTTTCCTTTGCTCACCAACTAACCTCTTTTAAGAAAAATACACCTTCCTGTTCACCCATCACACACACACATATTTCAAGGGAATTTTAACTATTCATTCAAGCCAGATTTTGTGAGGTAAAGTGACATGAATCTGACACAATCGTTGCCTCCAGGAACTGACAAAACAGTGGGAAAATAAGGCAAAGTCATAAGTAACAACTAGCTCAAGGGTCATTCTGACAATGAAATCATCTGATCTCACATGTTCTCTCTGCTCCCTTTCACTACCCCCAACAAATTCCCTTTGCTTTTCACCTGGACTCTGAAAAAAGCTTTCTGATTGGATTTTCTGGCTTGGTTTCTCCTCTCTCCAATCCATCTTAAAACAATCACTGCAGAATTAATCTTCCCAAAATGGTTGAGTGTGCTTATCTGACCCAGGGTAGGAGCCGGCAATGAGAAAGGATTTGAGCAGAGGAAAATATAGAAGATGAATTATGAAACAAAGTCCCAGAGGAAATGAAAGAAAATGGTTATCAAAATCCATGTGGAAAAACAAGCTTTGGGAAGGAGGGGAGATTCTTCTCTCTCATTGTTGAATTCTGAGAAAGTGAAGACATAATGAAAATTTGAGATTGTGAAGAGGAAAATGTAAGGAAACTATTTCCTGAGTGAGAGTTTTAAAGCTTGCTTCAAGGCTTAAAAAGTGGGGACAGGCTCAGAACTGCCTTATGGGAAGGTGATGGGAGTGGCCTCTATACATGGAAGAAAGTGGAGCAGGAATGAGCATCCACGAATGTTGGATAGTGCAGATTTGTCATGATTTTCCCTAGACTGCTCAGTAAGCCAGGAACAGAGAAAAGGAATGATTCAGGGTTATAAACTCTAAGGAACACAGTAGTACATCCTAGATCTCAGGGTTATGGGGGATGAGAATCATAAATGTAGACGATTGAGGCATCTGTGGTCTATGAAGGGGGTGATGGACTGGGAGTAGGGTGAGGCTGAGGGATGAAGGAGCCTGTCGAGGACACAGAGCAGATGTCAAAGAGAGTGACAGGCTGAGAAAGGTCATGATAAAAAGGATGTGGCCATAGAGAGGATGTTAGATATTGCCTGTCCTTGGTCCTAGTCTTCCAGAGTGTAAATATAATCCTTTTCCTAAAGACCAGCCCTTCTCTTTTTTCAAGGAACCAAAGTATGCCCCAGAATTCCATCTTTTATGGAGTATTAGAAGTTCTTCAGCAGTTTTTCTTTTTTTAATGAGCTGTGCTTTCCAAGCTTTTAGCACCCTGGTCAAGCTCCTCCAAGTGTATCTGACTGAAATGTGGTTCTATAAATGAAGCACATTGTTCCAGAAGCAGTTGGATCAGAGCAGAGGACTGTGGGATCTGTACCTGTCCTGGCTGGACTTCATTTATCCCTTAAAGGAATCTAAGACGGCACCAGCACCTTTAGGAGCCACACCAATTACTGGCTGAGATGGAGCTTACTCTGCTGCTAATACACCCTAGATTGTTTCTGTGACAAGTGTCCCTGTGTGGTACTTGTGCACCAACTAGGATGTAAGTGTAGGGCTTTGCACTCAACTTCGTTAAATTTCAATCTGTAAATTCTGACCCATCCCTCAAGCCAGCTGTTAGCCTTTAGAACTCTGCTTTGCCACCAAAATCAGGGAGTGCATTAGCCACTCCTTCTGACCTTACATCATTTTTAAATTTAGTTGAGATCTTCTAGATCTTATCCAAATTGATTTGAATTTGGATGGGCCAGAGCCAAGTACAGAGGCCAGAGTATTACCATAAGAACTTCCTTTGGAGCTGATATTTACCCCTTAATCCATGATCATTTGTTTATTCATTCAGTCAGTTACAAAGTACAAACTATGCTAAAAGCCGGATTGTAGGTGGTGACAGATACACTCCTTGACCAGCTTTGGAGTTTATAGTGCAGGAAGGCAGATGGTTGACAAATGTTACAGAAGGGGAAAATAAAGATGCTTTAGGTGCCAGTAACAGGAGAACCTATCCTAATCCAGAGTCAGGGAAACCCCCACCTGAACTATGAATGAAAGGTGACTAAGACCGAGAGAAGGCAGAGGGAAAGAGATGGGAGTGTTGCAAGAAAAGCACGCAACATCTATTAATGGACAGAACAGAGTGACTAGGAGCACATTCAAAGCAATGATGCTCCAGGATTGTGGGAGCACTAAAGGTTAAAAGGAAGGGGATTTCAGATGAAGCTGGATTGAAAGGCACGGGGCAAAGATGTGCAGGGCCCTGCAAGCCATCTTCTGATTTTGAGCCTTATTCTAAGGGCAAGCCATAGAATGGTTTTAGAAGAGGAGAGTGATATTTGCATAGTTGAGAAGGTCACTGTGGTTTCTATGTGGATGAGCAGAAGGAGGTCAAGTGGATGGAAGGATTCTAATGCAGTGTTCAGGGAACAGAAAATAGACCAAGATGGGGCAGTTTAGAGAATGACTCACTTACAAATTAATTGGGAGGAAGTGACTGATTTGTATTTAACTAGATGCAAAGAACAAGGAGGACAAAGGAATATGGATGATCCAGGTTTCTGACTTGAACAGTTATGGGGACAGTGGTGTCATCTGAGAGAGGAGGAGCCATGGCAGAGATGGAGCACTATCCTTGAAGAATCCACAAATCCAGACACCTAGAGAGCAGCTGAACCTCTGAATCTGCAGCACCAAGGAAGAACTGAGCTGGGAAAATAGATCTGAGCACTGTCAGAATCAAATACTGGTTCTCACCCCTGACTACAAACAGGAATCACCTGGTGAATTATAAAACTATTCCTACCCCTAAGTCCCATCTCCAACAATTAAATCTGGGCCTGGTCACTGATTTTTCTTTTCTGTTCTTTCTGATTTTAATGTCCATCCAGAAACTGAGAACCATGAATGGGAGATATGGGAAGTCACAGATAAGGTGAGACAGTGTGGAAGAAAAAGAAAGCGGCATAGGACAACCTCCTTTTAGGTATAACTGCTCACCTATCAAATAATTTACTTGAATGCAGTATCTAGCCATCCACACCTCCATTATTTATGCAACATTATAACTTCAAAAATATCAGTTCTAGTTTAGGACAGTTTTACTTTTAGAGACGGCATTCCAGTTATCTACTGCTTCATAAAAAGTCACCCCACAACTTCATGGTTTAAAACAGCAATCTGTAATTTTTCAACATTTCTGTGGGTCAGGAATTTGGGAGGAGTTCAGCTGAGTAGGTCTGGCTTGGAGTCTCATGTATATAGATGGCGGAGCTAGTACAGTCAGGCCGGGAAATACAGGTGCAGGTGGGGTCTGGCTGGGCATCTCTATGTAGTCTCAGGTGCTTTCCATGTGGCCTCTCCTTGTGGGCTAGTTTGGACTTCCCCACAGCATGGTGGGCTTAAAACAGACTGTTTCTATAGCAGCCCAGAGGACCAGCACAAGTGTCCCAACTAGTAAGTAAGAAGCTGAATCACCTAGCTTCAGAAGTCATGTAGTGTTACCTCCTTTTTACTGTCCTGGTCAGCTAGTTCCAAAAACCTACCTAATTTTAAGGGAAGGGGCATAGACCCCACTTCTCAATGGGAGAAATATTGTTATAGCTATTGGAGAATACCTCAAAGAGTATTCTCAAAGGGTTAAAAACAACCACCACCACTCAGATTTCTTTCCATCAATTCTAGATCTATATTTTGTCAAGTCACTGAAGGTATGAAGGAAGAAAAAGCAAATTAATTTAACTGTTGTTATAATACTAAATGAAAATTGATAACTTAAAGTTATATAACTTCTCTAATTCCTAGAAATACCTGATGACTTGTAGACCAAGAGATACTCAAATGGACTTCTCTCCCATCCAAAGAAATAGTAAAATTAAAATCAGATAACCAAATGTCTTAAATCTTTTAATTTAGTCCACCCCCCCCATAAGAAGTTTTTCATATTAAAATTCTGACCTTTAACCTGGCACTTGCAGGTTTAAAAAATATATATCAATGGCTGCTATTAGCAGCATTGGCCCCTGTAATCCACGTGGAGACAAGCAGTGAGCTTCATACTCATTTCATTTTATCCTTTTAGCTTAGTTGTCTCCCTGCATTTTACTGTGCTTGTGCTTGATCCCTCATATTTTCCCAGAACTGCCAGTTAGACTTGCATGTAATCTAGGACAGGGTGAGCCCCTGAGTCCGCTGGAAGTCTGTTTTCAGCCAGCCTGTTAACACCCACACAGTATTAGGACTTAGGTAAATATTCTGTCTAGCTATTTTCTCTGATGAATTACACATTTAGACTTATTAGTGAGGACAAAAAAAGGGGGGCAATGTTATTTTTAATGGGGGATTTTGTTTTTG